AGAGCACCTTTATTGGCCCCAACATACAAAAAAAAATGTCTAAGTCCTTTCCATAGCATATCTGAAAAGTATTTTTCTAGTCTATGCTGACTCCTAGAGCCTTATCTCTCAAGATGTGTGCTTTCATTTCTGGACAAGTTTGATCAGTGAGTTGTAATATTGACTCAAAAAATCTTTCTCTCTTACAACCATTGGTTCTTTAAGGGTAAATATTCTGTAGTTAGATCAACATGAAATATCTGATGATAGGAATAAGCACTTATATATATTTCCTTTTTTGGTCCAGAAAAAAATATTGAATGTGCTTATTTCTATCATCAGATATTTCATGTTGATATGTATATATACATGTCCCCTAATTAGGGGAACATATATATGTCCCCTAATTCTCTGAATTTTCCCAGTCATTCCCAATTTGCTGATATAAACTGTTAGCTTACTCTGGACCACTGAAAAACATTAACCTTTGCTTCCTACCACCTCCTGGCTTTTAAATTTGACACACTGGCTCTTTCAGTTCCTGCCCTAATTATATTTGCTTCACTTCTATCCAATTAGTTTAGAAAATTAAACTTCTGTGTCACCTTAGCATGTCATTATGAACAGAGACAGAATGAATAATCTAAAAGATTAGATTTTCAAATAGCCGGTTATTACTTAGTATTTAATATCTCCTTTTCCAAGTCACTTATTAACTTTTATATTTGCTTCATACAATCTGTTGAACTGGACTAAAGTCAAGAGGACTGGCTTTTGTTCTGCCTTGGTGGTTCTCAGGCTTCTTTTCTGTAAAATGAGATGTTGATGGTTTCTAAACTCTTTTCTGTTTTCTAATCTTAGTAGGAACACTGATGTCTATATGTTGCAGAACAAGAAAACCACCTAATTGTTCTCACTATATGTGAGCAAAATTATTACCAAAAAGATGTCATGAGAGGGTTCATATTACCTGTATTTCATATGTGAGTTGCTTCAGTTGATTAGGAATTATCTATGAGGGTTCCTGGGTGGCTCAACTGATTATGTGTCTGACTCTTGATTTCACCTCAACTCATGATCTCAGGGTCCTGGAATTGAGCCCTGCATTAGGCTCTGTGCTTAGCAGAGAGTCTACCTGGGAATTTTCTCTCCCTCTCCTTCTATCCCTTCCCCCTGAAATAAATCAATACATTTTTAAAAATTATCTGTAAACCTATATACTATTATATATGTTATGGCAATTGAGTCAGTACACAAAAGGTTAATAAAAATAGACATAGAAAGCTGGATAAAATAAGATTATTTGAGTTATCTTGTCTAATCCTTATAAAACTTTCTGGCATTTGAACATATGAACTGAACAGTATAGCAGATTTCTTTAAGCAGAGCCCGGAGCAAGGAGAGCACATTACCCATTACTGCCTCCTGGAACATTTTTCTGGGCATAAATGCGTGCACTGTAAATTACTACCATTCTCCTTTACCAAAAAGAATATGGATTTGTTTCTTTTAAGATTTATTTATTTATTTATTTATTTATTTATTTATTTATTTATTTATTTATGATAGAAACAGAGAGAGAGAGAGAGAGAGAGAGAGAGAGAGAGAGAGAGAGGCAGAGACACAGGAGGAGGGAGAAGCAGGCTCCATGCAGGGAGCCCGACGCAGGACTCAATCCCGGGACTCCAGGATCATGCCATGGGCCAAAGGCAGGCACCAAACTGCTGAGCCACCCAGAGATCCCACGGATTTCTTTTTATTTATGTACCAGGTAGCATAAAGACAATATTCATTAAACATCAAGTAATAATGAAACCCCATTGGGTGGTTTAATTTTAGGAAGTATCAGTACTGAGGATGAACCAAAAAGCATATTCTATGAGACTTAGAAGACAATGCAATTGTTCTCATTATCTGAAAGCAACTGCTAAAATAAATATAGTACTTCAAGACCTTGAATAAAACAATTCCAGTTGTTTCGTGTTTCATTGAAGCACAAACTCATGCAACACGACACAACTTCACACTTACCAGTCTGAGCTGTATAAAAGCTACATGATGTTTTTCATTGATGTCCTCTCCTTCATTTTTGGGGTCACATATTTATTTCATACATTTTCCTAACATTAAATATATAATATATGGATAGCAGTGCTGTTTATCAATTGTATTTTATTGATGTGTTAGATTAAAGATCACATTAAAAAGTTTGCCATGAGTTTCCTTTTTGAACTGCCCAGAGCCCTAATAATTGTTCAGTTTGTGAACTGAATTGTCAGACACCTTTTTCAAAAGTCTTATATTCTTTTTTAAATGGTGGAATCTCTCTCCACACAAACACCAACCTCTACAGAAAAGAAGCAGAAAACATAAAGGGTGCATTGGTAACCAACCCCCTGCTCATGTTTCTGAGAAGAAATTCAAATAAGCTGACAAAGAACATGAACACTAAGTGATAAAAGCAGCAATTTCATTTAGAGAAGTTTTTAGTTTGTTTGCTTTTGATTTTGTTGTTGTTGTTGTTTTGTTGTTGTTGTAATGGGGAGAAGTGGTAGGTAGCACTATTATGAATGGAGGAAATATTTGCACCAAAGATGTGCAGATAATGATCTGCAGGTGTGGACAACCAGGAGGAGACCATTTACAAGGTGAAACCAAAGAGGTCCATAAGCTAAGAAGGAAGTAGAACTTTGTAAAATATATTATGGGAGCTAAGTGAAAGTACTAGATAGGGCCAATGGCCTAATTTGCCATAGATTGGAGTTCGGTGACTGACTGGAAAGGATACTGAAGTCACAGGATAATGCAAAAACTCTCAGGCATGCTATAGATTATAGAACATGTGGAGAAACCATAAGGCAAAGATAGGGAGTTCCTCATTGTATAGTAATATATTGTTCTTCTTCACAGTGCTTGCTGTTAGGCAATAACAGGTTATCAGATAAGCAAGTCCCAGTTTGTATGTGAGCACCCAAACTGACTAAATGGGGTCCTATTATAAATCACTGCTCTTTCATGCCAGGAATATGTAGACCTACGAATTTCAAATAAATAAATTTTGATTTCATGTAGCTTACTTATTTGAGCAGAGAATGCTAAGTATCTATAGATTGAATTTCCCTTGGAGTTCTTCTTATATTTTTGATCAATTTCTCATGCAGAGTAACCTTAAAGGATACCCATATTCTCTCCAAGGCAGAGCCTGTCATTAATACAATGTTAGGGCTCAGTCAGAAAAATTCCAAGTGTTGCTTCCTTTGTTTTGATAAGTTCTCTATATTAGTTACTATGTGCACCTTTATGTAAGGAATCACTGTGCAGGCCAAATGTTCCTTTCTCTAGATAGCTTATAAGCATCTGGATAAATTTACATTAGAAATTCAATTAACTTTATATTAAAAGGTCAATTAACTTGGCCATGATAGAGATTGTTTTTAATTACTTTTCCTTGTAGGGCTTCTCTTCTTGTCCAAGCACAAATGACACTATCAATGATGGTCTCGTAGTCTGTTGGGTGCCTGAAACTCATATGTAAAACTCACTGGAAAGGACAGTCTTGGTTGAATGAATTTACTTTTATAATTCTTAGGACTTGGAATATCAGTAAGCAATGATAGGATATTTTAGCTTTAACAATCTCTATATTATTCATGACAGTATCCTTCATTATTTGTCCTTTCTGGTTTCTGTTTTCTTGGTGGAAGATGATAATAAGTAAAAATTATTTTAAAGAGTTAGCCCTCATTACATCATGTCACAGTATATTGTATGAAAAAAAAAGAACAAATGATTACATTAAAAACAAGTGATTCTATTCCATTAGAGAGCTCTTAGCTTTGTGTTCACATTTCACATGGGTCACAATTTAACTTGTTCATATGTCATTAGATTCTTATACTTGAGAAACCCAAGCCATTACCACTTGGCATTATAACTAAGCCATCACTCAGTCAAAAGAAAATAATGAAAGAAAGATACAAATATATAAGTAATGTATTGACTATATTTTACATATTAATATTATAACTCAGATCTTCAGATGACTAGCAATTTAAAAATAAAACAAACAGTACTCAGGAGTTTGATACCAGGTGAAATCTGCAGATTAAATTTTTTGTTTTATTTTTGAAGAAGGGACCAGCCTTTACCTTACAGGAGCAGTAACAATGTGCTAAGCATGATATAAATGTTATCTATGTAGTTCTCACTACAACTCTATGAGATATAATTCATTGTTTCCATTTTACTGATGAGCAAACAGAAGTTTATGTTCTGGCCACGGTCACAAATTTTCACACTCTAATGGTAGAGTCAGAAACTACACCCACATCAATCTGCCTTTTCAGATTTCCCATTTTCTTCTAGGGTAAAAACACAGCTCTAAGAGGAGTGAGATCAATGAAGTGCTTATAAAAGTGGGCTTGGGAGTGTGTTGAATGTTTGGAGGGCAGTTTGGGAACTGAATCACAGGAAGGGAATGGTTTGGGTCAGTGTAACTCAAAGAGTGGAGCCACAAGGATATAAATTAACTACGTCATTAAACATATTTTTCCCCCATAGCAATAGTTTCTCAATGAAGGAGCTGTATACTGATTTACATTCTGGTACATGCTTCTTCCCTCCTCCTGGACAATGACAGTTTGCAAACCAGCAAGCAGTCCACACTTCAGTGGCACATGCTTAAGGAATGTCATATGAAATTTTCCTTTACTGTGAAAACTTGAATCATTTTGGATAAAAGTTACCCTCAAAATTACCATATATTTTTCCATTTATGAAAAAGTATTAAAAAGCCACTTCTTATCCATATTTCAGATACAAATAAGGGCTTAAGTCCTAAATGTTATAAAAGTATGGGGGCCCTTAATCTTAGTTGAAATGTTACTACTCTTACTAGTTTTAATAAGCTAATCTCTTCCAAGAGCAAAGAAAAATAGTTTTCTTAAAGAATGAACAATATTGCCATCAAACAGCATGATGTTTCAAATGAAATACAAATTTTAAAAATGTATTATTCATACCTGCACCTCCGCCAATGCTTAGAATCTTAATTTCTGATTTTCTATCACCAATCCTGAAAAAAAAATATGTAGTTTAAGAAAATTGTGCTATGTGCTTTGTAAAATCTGATTATCAAGTCTAGTTAAAGAGAACAAACTAAAATTTTAGTGAACAAAAACTAGGCCAACATGAAAGGTCACACTCATGTTAGTGGTTACACTGCTGTGTTTAGAAATCTTTAGAAAATAGTTCCACTCGTTACTGGTTTTGAACTGGGAGACTTTTAGAAACAGCATTATAAACAGTTCCGAGATAGGAAATGCCATTTGTTTCATGATTAGAAAACAAGATCACAAAAAGTGGGCCTTTGAGTCTAGTGATCTAATAAGCCATTCATTAAAGATGGGAGAAAGGTTAAGGTGATTCATGCTGTATATCTGCCTTCCTTCTTTCTTGCTAACTTCCTTTCAATGAATAAATGTTTATTAAATATTTATTATACATCTATATTTAGCATTGGGGATATAAAAATGAATAAAACACTACTTTGCTCTCAAGTTAAAATGCAAGATAATAAACCCCAGTATTAAGAGAAGGGAAAGGTGGCAGAGTAGAAGAACCCTTAGCTCATCTCCTCCCACAGACACACTGAGACCACAATGACATATAATGCAACTCACCTGAAAACAACCTGAAGAGTAGCAGAACAGATTTTCCACAGCTAAAGACAGAGCCATATCAAGAAGAGTATCTTAGATAGAGATGTAGTAGGAACCAAGGCCCCAGAATGGCAACTATAGGCTGGAAGGATATTAGAGGCATAGAGATCCTGCCTAAGAGGTGAGGGGATGAAGCCCCATCTGAGGCACCCTCTGTCATAGGAACCTGTACCAGAAGACAAACCTTCATAACATGTGGCTTTGAAAATCAGCAGGAACAAACTCTGGGAGAGCCAAGCCACAGGAAACTGAGACTCTGCTCTTAAAAGGCCAGCACACAATATCACTCCATCAGACACCCAGTACAGAAACAAAAGTTTGAAAAGTACCTGGACATATAAGGAGGAAATTTATTGACTTTTTGAACTGGAGGGGCAGGGATCTAAGAAGCTTTCTACAGGAATGGAAATCCTGGAAGACATAATTTTCCTTGCCCTTTTTCAGTCCAGCTAGCTGGATGCTGGTAGGAGTCAATGTTGACACTCTCCATCTACCACTTGCTCTTCTCAGCATGCCCCTGCAAACATACCCCAGCAGGCAGTGCTCCAAAGCAGCTCCTATACCATCACACCCAGAAGACAGTGCTATCTGGAACCAGTGGCCCTTTAAAGTGATTTCTACACTGAAGATACTGAAGAGCAGCCCTAGCCATCAGTATACCTGCAGTAATTCTGGCTGGGCCTTTCTGCCAGCTGTGTTGGGAGCTCACACCACTGATCAGCAAGTTCATAGAGGCTATAGCTTGTTCTTTCAGCTAGCCAGGCTGTGGGCCATCTCCACCCATAGTGTCCATAGCAGTTGCAGCCTGGTCACACCAGGAGGGCACATATGGCCCACACAGGGGACACTCCTGGAGCACTTGGTCCTGGTAAATGGAGACATTGCATTACTGGGCTCCACAGGATGCCTTCTACATAAGACCACTACTTTCAAGACTATAAGACCAACTAATGCAAAGAAATAAACAGAGTCAGATAAAATTAAAAGACACAGGAATATGGTCCAAACAAAAGAACAAGAAAGAACATCAGAAAAAGAACTAAATAAAACAGATAAGCAAGGTACCTGATGAAAAAAAATGAGAGTAATGTTTATAAAGATGCTCACCAGATTTGGAAGAAGAGTGGATGAACTCCATGAGAACTTCAGCGAAGAGACATAAAATGTAAAATAAAAAATATCAGAGCTGATGAATACAATAACTAAAATGAAAAATATAGTAGAGGAAATCAACAGCATGTTAGAGGATGCAGAAGAAAAGATCAGCAATCTGAAGTCAGGATAGTGAAAAGCACCCAAGCTGAAAAGCAAAAAGAATTTTCAAAAAATGAGGATAAGTTAAGGGACTAATATATATTAAATGTACTAACATTTGTATTACAGGAGTGCCAGAAGGAAAAGAAGGGACAGAAAACTTACTTGAAGAAATAATTGCTGAAAATTTCACCAACCTGTAGGAGGAAACAGTTCCAGGAGTCACAGAGAGCCCCAAACAAGATGAATCAGAGGCGATCTATACCAAGACGCATAATAATTAAAATGCCAAAAATTAAAGATAATATGAAAATCCTAAAAGCAGCAAGAGAAAAGAAAACAGTTATGTAAGAGGAAATCCAAAGGCTATAAAACTGATTTGTCACCAGAAACTTTCTAGGCCAGAAAGTAGTGAAATTATATATTCAAAGTGCTGAAGGAAAAAAAAAAACCTACAATCAAGAGTATTCTACCTACAATATTAACATTTAGAATAGAAAGGAGAGATAAAGAGTTTCCCAGAAAAACAGAAATTAAAGCAGTTCATCACCACTAAACTAGACTCACAAGAAATGTTAAAGGGACTTATGTACCTGGAAAAGACAAAGTCATAAGTAAAAGTAAGAAAATTAGGAAAGGAAAAAAAGTGACATCATATACATAAAACATAGAGGGGGAGGTAAAAATGTTTTTATTTTAGAATGTGTTTGAATTTGAGCAACTATAAACTTAATATAGACTGCTATATACATAGGATACTATATAGGAACCTCACAGTAACCACAAACCAAAAACCTATAATAGATACACAAAAAATAAAGAGAAAGGAATCCAAGCATTACACTGAAGAAAAATTAAATCACATCACAATAAAGCTAGAGGAAAAGAAAAGAGAGAAGAACTACAAAAACAATTAATTGTAAATATTAAAAAAAATAATAATAATTGTAAATATTTATTCACCCAATATATAGGCACCTAAATATATAAAGCAAATGTTTTCATACATAAAGAAGTTAACAGTAATATAATAATAGTAGGGAACTTTACATCCCATTTACATCAACGGATAGAACATCCTGGCAGAAAATTAATAAGCAAATAGTGGCTTTGAAAAACACGTTAGATCAGATGGACTTAACAGATATACACAGAACATTCCATTCAAAATCAGAATACACATTTTTTCCAGTGCACACGGACATTCTCTAAGATGGATCATGTTAGGCTGTAAAATTTGTATCAATAAACTTAAGAGAACTGAAATTATATCAAACATCTTTTTTGATCGCAACAATATGAAACTAGATATCAATTACAAGAAAAAAATGGGGGATAAAAACCATGGAGGCTAAACAGCATGCTAGTAAAAATCCAATGGGTCAACTAAAAAATCAAAGAGGAAACAACAACAACAACAAAAAAACAGGAAACAAATAAAAATGGAAACCACCAGTAAAAATGTTTGGGTTGCAATAAATGCAATTTTAAGAGGGAAATTTATAGTGATGTAGGTCTACCTAAGAAACAACAAAAATCTCAAATAATCTAATTATACACCTAAAAGACTGGAAAAAAGAATAAATGAAATTCAAAGTTAGGAGGAGGAAGTCAGTCATAAAGATCAGAGAGGAAATAACTGGATGAAATAAAGACTTAAAAAACAATAGGAAAGATCAGTGAAATGAAGAGCTGGTTCTTTGAAAAGAAACAATTCATAAACTTTTAGTCATATTCATTAAGAAAAGCAGAGAGAGAACTCAAAATTGGAAATGAAAGAGAAGTTAAAACTGACACCATAGAAATACAAAGGCTTATAAGAAACTACTATGAAAAATTATATACTAACAAATTATATACTGAGAAATAGAAGAAATGGATAAATTCCTAGAAAAATACATTCTCCTAAAACTGAATCAGGAATAAATAGAAAAATCTGAATAGGCAGATTACTATTGATAAAATTGAATCAATAATCAAAAAACCTCCAATAAACAAAATTCCAGGACCAGATGGATTCACAGGAGAACTCTACCAAACATTTAAGAAAGAGTTAATACCTATTCTTCCCAAACTATTCCAAAAAATGGAAGAGGAAGTAACACTTCCAAATTCATTCTATGGTGCCAGCATTACTCTGATATCAAAAACAGATAAAGATACAAAAAAAAAATTACAGGGACGCCTGGGTGGCTCAGCAGTTGAGCATCTGCCTTTGGCTCAGGGCGTGATCCTGGTCCTGGGATCAAGTCCCACATTGGACTCCCTCCAAGGAGCCTGCTCTTCCTCTGTCTATGTCTCTGTCTCTCGTGAATAAATAAACAAAATTGTTTAAAAATATTACAGACCAATATCCAACATAGATGTGTAAATTCTCAATGAAATATTAGAAACCAAATTCAACAACACATTAAAAGGATCATTCACCATAATCAGGTAGGATTTATTCTGGGATACAGGATGATTCAATATCTGCTAATCAATGTGATATACCACATTAACAAAATGAAGGACAAAAATCATATGATCATGTCATTAGATGTAAAAAAGCATTTGACAAAATTGAACATCTACAGAATGGGCTTAGAGGGAATATACCTTAACATAACAAAGGCCAAACAGGAAAAGCCAAACCCCACAGCTTGTATCATATTCCTGTGAAAAGCTTTTCCTTTAAGGTCAGGAACAAGACAAGGATGTCCACTCTTACCACTTTTGTTCAACATAGTACTGAAATCCTAGCCAAAGCAATCAGGTAAGAAAAAGAGAAAAAAAGGTGTCCAAATTGGTAAGGAAACTGTCACTATTCATAGAAGACATGATTCTATATGTATAAAACCCTAAAGACTCACTAAAAAACTGTTAAATGTATAAAATCTATTCAGTAAAGTTGCGGATCCAAAATTAATATACAAAAATCTGTTCCATTTCTATACACTAATACACATCTAACAGAGAAATCAAGAAAGCAATCTCATTTACAACTGCATTAAGAAAAATAAAATACCTTGGAATAAATAAAAATAAGGCAGTGAAAGGCCTATCCTCTGAAAACTATAAAACTGATGAAAGAAATTAAAGGAACAAAAATAAATGAAAA